GCCTTTCACAAATACTCAGGAAAGGAGGGAGACAAAACCACCCTGGCCAAAGGCGAGCTCAAGGATCTGCTCACAGCAGAGCTGGGCGACATCTTCGCGGTGAGAGGCACTGCAAAACTGTTTCATAAACTGACCAGTTGAAATATAATTTCTCTTTTCATTGACATTTTAATTAAAAATGCTTCATTTAAAATTAGGTATTAAAATTGCTTTCTTTATGTGTGTGTGTATATATATATATATATAAGGATTGACTATCTCTGGTTACACTTTTGTGCGTGTTGTGTTTGTTAAAGAAATCCAGTGACCAGGCAGCTCTGGACAAGATTTTTAAGGATCTGGATGCAAATGCAGATGGCACTGTGGACTTCCAGGAGTACGTCACCTTGGTCGCCTGCATCACTATGCTTTGCAATGAGTTTTTCACAAAACAATGATCTTGTCCTTACAGAAAGGGTTTATCTGTAAAGCTGTGGTGTATCTGAAACCAGAAATAAAGGTTTTTAATGTTTTGAATTAAATCTGTATTCTTACAATATGTTGGTGTGAGTGTTCTTATCTGTAAATGTGTTTGTGGCTGCAACTTACATACACATGAAGGTTATTCTTATAGATATATTAGAACTATATGCTTCAATTTCAGATGGAAAAGTTCACCACTCCTAACATAATACACATTACAGTAACTCATACTATACATGGCCTGCAGGAAACTTGAAAACAATACCAGAGTATTACCATATATATACATGAAGACAATAAACAGACGTTTGCTGACAGTTTATCTGTTAAGTTTTTCTGCTTTGCATTCTCGTGTATTTTCATAAGTATAAAGTATATTTATAATACAATGTTAAACGACTCGGCTTTTATAACAGTATAGAATAATTAATTAATAATAATTCTGCCTCCATCTGTGATAAGAAGCCACATCAGATCACAACAACTGTTGTTGTCCCTCCATTCTAATATTAAGCTAACACCAAAGTTAACCACTCATCTCTGTTCTCTATTCGATCAGTGTTTTTAACACCCATTGGTTTTTTCCCCTGGGTATTTCATATTTCCTTTGGTGTAAAAAGCATAAGGTGCCCATTTTAGTGATCAGACAAGTTGCAAATAACTACATTAATAAAAACTGCATTAATCTTACTTGGAGCTCATAAAATATAACATTTTCCAGTGAATGTCTCCATCTTGTGGTGGCCCTCATAAGGGATCTTGGAACTGTTACTTGGGCACTTAGAGCCTAAAAGAATGAACTTTTATCTGAGGTTCAAAGAATGTTCAAGTTCAAACTTAATGTCACACAATGCATTTGTTTTTATAACATTCATAAGTTTTATTTATTTTTAATTTCAGTTCACTCACTTGTAACCAAATAAAAACCCCATTGTTTTAAAGCTCATTTACAAAGAATAGTGCACAGTACCTAAATTGGTTTCCAGATTCTTATGATGGGATTGTGTTTTATATTTTAAGAAGTTTTACAAATGTGTATGCTTTACAAACACCGCAGTAAACAAACCAAAAGTGATACTATACATTACTCCGTTTTAGTAATAATGTTGATGCAATTATGTGCTGGATCATAATTATATTGTTAGGTTGAAATTTGGGGGGTGGGGCTGTCTCTCGGGGCCCTTGGAATCGTCCTAACCTCTAAGCCGTTCTTGATCCTATATTAATTTGTGACGAGAACACATAAAAATAAATCAATAAATAAAAATAATGGAGTGTGGGTGTCACCCAGTGGCTACATTTGGCTTTTTACCTGTGTTCCAAAGCACGCATGAAAACCTTTTAAGTTTGGATACAAGTTAAGCATGAGTCAAGGATTTGGGAACTGTTGGCATGTCTAGTGTGGAATACTTTTTATTATTTCTTTAAAAAATAAGCACTGAAGAAATTACTTTTAATAACATATTCGTACTTTTAATTATTATAATCTCTTGAAGCATATTCTAACTAAAATGTGTATGTTCTGTTATTAATGGAATTAATGACAGATTAATTGGAATCTATTTAAAATATGTCTCCTTTCAAAGACAAAAACTTCTATGTTCAGTAACCATGCTGGTTGCTAAATATTTCTGTCAGTCTTCTGCACTACATTTCCCATGGTGCACTGCTTTGTTGTTACGTGACAGAAGTGACTTTCAATACACGCAAATGCAGCAGTTGCTGTGTTCGAAATGCCATACTAGCATACTACTCTTACTATTTCTGCATTATTCAGTATGTATACTGTACATGCAAACTTTCTGTATGCATGGAATTCCCGGTTGACCTACTATATTTGCCAGAATATGCTAAATATAACTCAAGTAGGCTAGAAGCAGTGTTTGGAATGATTTAGCCTACTACCATACAACTCCTACAATATTGTAGTATGCAATGTGTATACCGTGAATAGTATGTGAGTTTTCTGTATGCATGGAATTCCCGGATTACCTACTACATTTGCTGAAATCTGATGAGTGCATCTGAAGGCACTGCATGGGATACTGTTTCCCACAATGCAGTGCGCGTTTCATCTTCAAACGTGTGAGTGAACTGGAGGCGGGGATAGTAATTATAAATGTAACACTTTTATATGTACATGTATGTATACATGTTACTGTAAACTACAAACTATTGCTGTGTATTTAAAAGCAATATCGTTAGTAGGACATAAATTGTACCTTAATCTCTATGGCACGTTTCCGATTAAGTCAAATGACGTCACCTTTATCTCTTTATAGCCTACAGTACAGATTGTTTCAAAGATATTAAAAATATTCCAGTAATATAATATATAAATAAAAATAATATTTCAATTATGCAGAAGGAAATTCTGCTGTAAAGCAGTTAAAGCAACGCCTGACTGCGATAAGCCTTTTGCCAAACTCATTCTTCTCCTTTTCCCATCACATATCAGATCGGAAAGGCATTTATTTTCAGTAAAAATAAAGGAAATATTTGAAAATTGTAAACAAAACGCCTCATTATTAATACGGTGTTTACTGGGTATGGTTAGTAGGGATCCATTTAATAATTCTTAATGAATATGATAATTTACACTCAGTATGTTATTGCATACTGTTTTATAATGTACTACAGTAGGCTACTGAGGTATAAATATCTGCCACCTAACTACTATTTACACTTAGCCCATTGCTAAAGAAAATACTGCTATTCTAGTGTAAACAGAATTTATCATTATTTGCACTTAGTGTAGGCTAACTAGAATAAATCGCTTTTTTTGCATATTTGTCACACTTAAAAGATTCAGATAATCAAACAAATTTTAATATTACACAAAGATAATGCAAGTAAATACAAAATGCAGTTTTTAAATGATGATTTCATTTATTAAGGGAAAAAAACTGTCCAAACCTACGTGGCCCTACATGAAAAATGAATTGCCCCCTCCTGTTAAATCATGAAAGAACTGCAATTAACCACATTATTTAGAAAGCTGAGTTAAATTTCACTAGCCACACCCAGGCCTGATTACTGCCAGACCTGTTGAATCAAGAAATCACTTAAATAGAACCTGTCTGACAAAGTGAAGCATGCTTAAAGAGCAACACATCATGCCGCTATCTAAAGAAATTCAAGAACAGATGAGAAACAAAACAGTTGACGTGTATCAGTCTGGAAAGGATTATAAAGCCATTTCTAAGGCTTTGGGACTCCAGCGAACCATGGTCAGAGCCATTATCCACAAATTGAGAAAAATTGGAACAATGGTGAACCTTCCCAGGAGTTGCCGGCCAACCAAAATTACTCCAAGA